TGCGTGAAGTCCATTTATGGCTATGCCGATGCCTCCAGATATACTTAACATTTTAATAGAAAAAGAAACATTTTCTAGTGAATAGAAAGGTTTTCAGTAAATAGCTTTGAAACATTGCATGTATTGATAGAAAGATAAGTGAGAAACTATACATGGAAACCTCCTTAGGCCAGAAAAAGCTGAAGCTTCTCACTGATAAAAGCAAGGTGAGATTCAGCGGGTGTGAGGCGCTAAGCTTCAAGCTTACAGCCTATTTATGTGAAGATTCTCGCAGATCCCTCTAGTTTCAAAGTTTAGGATTTCGGGAATGTCCAATACATTATCAAGCAGCATAGTCAGCTAGCAGGAATACATGCAGGTTTTCTGTATCATGCTGTTTCATGTCGTCCATAGACACTAGCTTGTGTTGAACATGTGGGCACAATCTGACTGCTAGAAGATTTTCATGTGGATTCAGCAATAAACATGCACACACGAATTGGCTTCATTGATTTCTGTGCAAGGATTTTCTTGGTGAAAACTTTCAATTCTATATCAATACACATTTTTGCATGACATTTTAGGCTTCATAATATTAGTCCTGCTAGTATTGCCATGACAGCATTTATCACAGTGGCAGTGATGTACACCATGTTATCTGAGCATTGAAGGTAGTATCAGAGGTTATGTGCAGGATAAGGATTCATTTAATTTTCAGAGGTTCTTTTTTCTCAGGCCTCTTTTCCCCTAATTTTCACTTTGTAACACTGATCATAATTCACTTCCTGCCCCTTTGTTTACGAAACAAAGATAACATTGGGGGTTATTCACACAGCTGGCGAAGTGAATAACCCAGCCGAAGTGCTGTGAGACGCATGTCGTTCAGCTATTCATTTCTGGCTTGTACGGCTGATTTCAGCCATATATCAGCTAAAATGAGCCATACATCGGCTGCCTTCGGTCATCCAAACATGCAGAGCCGAAGTGCAGAAGGACTTTGACTCAGCCGATCCAACATCTCGGGCCGAACGGCAGTGAGTGAATAGCCGAATGTCGCCGAGCGGCATTCGGCTCATCAATTTTGCTCGGTACCTCCGAGGTACCGAGCAGAATAGAAAAGAAGTGTAATTAATGTGAAAAAAAAATAAGTTGCAAAATGATTTGAAAAATTATACAAAAGAGGAAACTTAAAAAAAAATGAAATATTTTAAAGAAAAGACAAATAAAAAAACAAAACAATTGGGTGGAGCTAGCAGTGACAGCTAGCTCCGCCACATGTTTCCTATTGGCCGGCACTTGATTGGCCGAGTCTTCTAGCAGGTCCCCGCCAATGAATAACAACTGGGCGAAGTCGCCCAGTTGTTATTGTTTAATAACAGATCAACGTCCCCAGATCATTTGGGCACCCGGATCTTTCATTACCACGTGGCAGAGCCAGCCGTGAGATCACCCAGCTGTCATTTGCGGGGAGAACGGCTGATCTTCGGCAGACCATTCACTCCGCTTTGGCTGTCACTTTGGCTCAGTTGAGCCGAAGCATATGCCTTCAGCTCGGCTGAGCCGCCTTCGGCTGCTGTATGGTCTATTGTGAATAGCCCGTACAGCAGCCCTTCTGTTCTACTGAACCGAAGGGCTCCAGCGGCCAAAGAGAGCAGAAGGATCAGCCGAAGCTACGGCTGTATCCTTCGTCTCAATAGTGAATAACCCCCAATGTTTTCACTGACTTTTCAGCTCACAGAAAGTGATAAGGACACTGAATTTCTGAAAGTGTGTTACGATTGTAAAAACTAATGCAGCAACCAAATCTAAGGTAAAAATTGCTGGTAAACCGCAATATATTCAATGTTCACTTTTGGGTTTAGATAGTTTTTAAGGCAATATTAAATATCTATATGCATGTTTGCAATTATGCCACCGACCCCTCATCCAATCAGGGGACACCTTGTATTCACTGATAAAAATACTAGGCATTCTCTGAATGCCCAATGTGCTGAGCGAGTGACCCCCTGTGTTTTCAGAGCAGAGGGGAAGCAGCTCAGCACAACGCCATAGAACATCGCAGCCAGCATCATAGTAGCTCTGGCTGCTACAGTGCTTTACAGAATCCCTGTGGGCCGATTACATATTACACATGCATACTTACATTGGACAAGGATTACCAGTCTACATTCTAATGTATTGGAGCACTAGTTTTGACACAGCCATGCTCTATGCTGGCACAATAAAACCCTTAATCTAGCAATTAAGCAAGGACATGCTGCAACAAACAGCTATTTTTTTCAGAACAGAAACAGGTAGGAAGCGGCAACAAAGTTGGTTAAATTCCTTACAACGTACACTGATCACCCAGAGGGGACTGATTTTATTTTACTCTGCAAAAGTGGAATTACTCTTTAACATAGAATGTAATTAGATTAGGCCTGGAGACTGAAAAAGTGCAAAAAGATGAAAGTACCTCTGGCTGCTTAAAGGTTAAACAGAAAGATTCATGTATGTGCTGGATAGCGCACAGAACACAGAATGTAACATACAAATAATGTATTCTTTCTATATACCCAATTTTATTTTCATCTTCTAGAGTTAAATTGTGTGTGACACTGAACAGCATTTAACACTATATCCAATGCTTTATAGCCAGTGCTATTTTCAAAACTCGGCTAAAAATCATTGTTATAGGCTGTTTGCTTAATGTAATCTATAACCGCAATATGTTTGTTCCCATTGATATGTAACTTCGCTGGAGCTGTGGTATGGTGTGCTGTAAGTCATGAGTCCATTTATGCTGTACTAGAAGAGGAATGTTCTATGCTTCGGTCTGTAGAATCCATACTTAACATGACAAATGCAAAACAGAGATTCCTAACTAGCACAAGTAAACAAGAAATAGATTGGCCATCTGTGCACAAAATAAACGCTTTTCAACATTAAGCAATGTGAATGCAGTCATTCTGACTCTACACCCACTTTTTGTAGACTTAAAGAGAAGCAATTCTTGGTTTCTCTCTTCCAGCAAAGATAAATTGTATTTGTAAATGTCTTCAAGCAATGTTCAGCTTTGATCAAAATCTAAGGCTTATATAACAATATGGCTGGGGCTCTACATATCTTCTAAACCCCTATTTATCACAAATGCAGGCTAAATTGCTATTTGCTCCATCCACTCTCATCTTCAACAATCTCTGACTTGTCCAATGGGTTATGGAAGGTAACCGCAAAGTCAACAATCGGAATATTGCAGCAAGATACCACATTACAGATGGAATAAGAACAGATAGCAAGAATAGGAACACGCTGGTCAGCAGGGTATATAAGGACATGTTTATTGAACAGCAGTATTTTTCATGGCAGTCTTGCCTGTGGTAAACAAACTATTATGAGTGGGCCTTGGGTCTTCCTTTCAATCTGTCCCCTTCTGGCTCAGTGTTCTGTTCTTTTCATTTATGTACTATGCAGCATAATTTGATTCCATATTATTACTATCCTGTAGATTGTCTACAAATATCTAGTGGCATTTAATAAAACGTGATCTACTAACTATTTTTGAGAAAAGTTCACCATTCATCCAAGTGACTTATTAAGTTCACCCAATGGAAGGGAATTCAACAGCATTTAAACCCCTATGGGTAGTCCAAACACCATAATTTGATTGCTACCCCACTTTATTAAATGTTGGAATGTTGAAAAAAATAAATAGCAAGTTCAGTTATATTATATAGTTAGATTTACCTACCAACTAAATATATTATAACACAGTACCACCAAATAAAATGATGTTGTACTGCCAACAGGGCTACGCCATTGGTTGACCAATAGGGCTCCTGCCTTGGGTGTAATTGTTTATGGAGGAGATGCAAAGATAATATAAGCTTACTTAGAGCAGTTCCTGCCAAATACCTCCACATCTCTTTTCCTAAGTCTCATGTTTTAGCCTTGGTTGTGGTCAATATCACATTGTATTAAACAATGGAATATGGCCACTAGGGGAGCAGGAGGAGAAACTTATGCCAGCATCTGCCACAAGTGGGTTTCACCTCATTTAAGCACTTTCCATTTACACCAGGGTTCCCCAATGTGGTCACATTGACCCCCCAGTATCGATGGGACTATATAAGGGGTTGATAAAATGGTAGGGGGTCAAAAAGCGGTGAGAAATGTCTATAAGCGATTCATACAGTAGGGGTCAATTAATCTTTTAAGGTCTCTGTAGAGTTCCATGCCTGTCCATAGTCCTGACGACAAGGTGGCTGGAGATGAGACAATGTGTTACCCAGGGTTGGATGGTCAGCCATCCGTGAGAGAAGCTTTGAGTTTTCTCTATAAGCTGTGTGTTGTTACTCGTCTCGTTTACTAGCGTGTTTTAGGTTGTGTGCCTGTGACCTTTTACCCCCCTATTTGGAAGGACATAGATTAATGTTCACGTTCCAACGCCAACTCTGTTGTAGAGCCAGTGAGTACGCCAACAGCAATAAGAGTGGTGTCAAAGAACTGATTGCTGTGTTTACAAATAATATCAGCATTGTACCAAACATTGTTTTTTGTACTACTACTATTTTAAGTAATATTTATTCAATTATTAACAATCTGAAACTTAATGAAGGGTGTCGATGAGCTAAAAAGAGTGTGGTTTGCTGATTTACATCATCCAGCTTTGAAGGTCCCCTTTTAAGCTGCTGTAGGCAGGTCTAAATGCAGCAAGTGCAGGGACAAACCCAGAACACCTTGAAAAGTTTATTTCTCCCAGGTGAATGCTTTGAAATCCCTCAGGAGGAGTTTTATTCTATTGCTCGAAAAAGAAAAGAATGATCTTTCTTACTCAGCTTGCTGCCACTGTAACCCATAAATGAACGGTCAATTAAACAACATCTGTGAATAAGTATGAAAATGTCTGAGGATTTTAAATTTTCCAGTTTGCTTATTCCATTTTATTACAGCATTTTATCACTGAAGGTTGTTACACTTGCACTATGAACAGCTATAAAGAATGAACTGTCAGATTCCTACTGCGTATGATGCAATCTTACCTTCTGCACGTTGAAATCTTTACTGCATTTAGCTTGAGGTTTAGCTCATTTCTGCTACATGACTTGAATTCTGCAAAGGCAAAGACAAGAAAGAATCAAGGCTTCTGTAGGACAAGTAGATCCATAACAAAAGCACCTGCTAGTCACATTCTGCCAATGCCTTTAAAACAGTGCTGGCTTGAAACACCTGAGTGCATGTATTGTGGGAGAGTTCTCATAGTGACATAAGTGACTTTGTTAGCAATCATTCAAAGGTCATCACACAAGAAAATCTACAGAACACAACTTGCTGAGGTTCATATACTGTACCACAAACTCCATTTGACAAATGTATTAGAAATTTTAAATGTAGAGAAAAGCTGCTTTCCATTGCTGCTTGCATTCTAGCTGCATTACATCACAATATATATTTATAGCTTGCTAGCTACACTTTTCCCGTTTCCCCCCTTGCTGCAATCAGCCCATCACACCAGGCATGCACATTGTAATCAAAATGGCAAGGGGCCACTGAGCGTGCATCGTCCTGATATGCTGATGGCAGTCCCTATGCCATTTCATCTTGATGGGGTGCTATGAAAAAACTCCCTCCCCCAGAAAAGGGGGCACTGCTGTTAATGAACCATTGCTGATGTGAACAGACACCAGGTTGTTTGGCATCCCTGCTCCTCAGAAGTGCATGTGGGTAGGTACATATATGTGCAACCCCACAGGTCCCCCATGTAGTATTCAACCAAGCTGAGGTCTTCTCTCCTGGTGAGTTAGGAAAGGGATCTCTTAACAACCCTGGCCCTTTTAACTATGCACATAGTGTGTACACACACATAAAACATCTTGAGAATGTTTTATTTATCTGCATCTAAATATTAAAAAAGATTCAACATTGTCTTCATTCTTCCAAGTGCCCTTCTGGGTGTTTATTTTAGCCCCGGATATAAAGAGAAGGCCCTCTGGCTGCAAACTGAAGCAGATTCCCAGCTAAAGAATGGATTTTCAGTCATTTGAAAAAGTAAGTAAGTACCACCCATGGAAATTGTTTCAAAATATTGAACAGGCAAACATTAGCGCAGGGTTATTCACAAAAGGGCGAAGGGATTGGAGAAGGCAAGATAAGTGAACACTCTAGGACAACATAGCTGAACTAGAAGACTTTTTCCAAATCAGCTATTTTGGCCTATATTGTTCACTTCTGTCTTCTCCAAACTCTTCAAACTGTGTCTACAAATAATGGTGATAATATTTGAATTAAAAAAAAAACCAAGGAAAAGCTATTACTTTGTGGGTTTTTAGTGTGATTCAGGCCATTATTATGTCAAGAGATCCATCTCTGGGTTAAATCTAATTTTCAGACAGATGGCTTCATGTTCTCATTAAAGTGATATTAAAATCCAAATGTTTTGAAGGTATTTCAAATGCTGATTAAATCACTTACACTGGATGCTGCTTCTTGATGTTCAAAACGTTTAGTTTTCTGTGAAATCAGCTGGTCCCCTGAGCACTGGCCCTGTTGTCCTGTTTTAGTACATCTGATACTACCACAAGGTGACAATGCTGCTGTTCAAGGGTGGCTCCATTGCTCCACCATAGGGGGAGCCACCCTAAGACAGAAGTGTATTACTAGCTGGAGCAACAGGTGAAAATAAAAAAAAGCTAAAAACAGGAAACTAATGCAGCCAAAACATTTAAGGAATGGTAAGCTGCAATATATTGTTTTTTTTTTTGTGTTTAGATATGCTTTAAGCACAGAACCAGTATCAGTATTATAGAGTGCAGATAACAAAGCTTTTCTAACCATTCATTTCATGTGGTTATGGGCTTAAAAGGAATGGAAAATCAGTGTATTCACCAGCATTTGAAAAAAATGCATTCAAATGATGAATTGTGTGAAAAAATGCATTGCATGTAACTGCCTCACATATCGTTTAGAACATCAAGCCCTTGCTATTTAATGGTTTCCTAAGTCATAAAAGGAATGCAAATTACAGTGTGGTTTCCACATGCCTTATAACTGTACATTATCATTACTTCCAAATAGTTTATTAATTTGGTCTCTTTGAAAAGCTGTTCTATTAATTGTCTGTATGCGGGAGGCAGTCATGTTACACATCAGTATGGTTGCATTGATTGCATTAGTTTTGGGTCATGTGTTCAGTACTTTCTGGTGTAATTGATGAATCATGTATGCAACCAAGGATGCCACGCTAAATACCTCTTCACACAGTCTAATCAATCATGGCAGTCAGTCAAAGGTTTACCTGAAAATCAGTAATCTAATTTTCAACAAACGCAGCAATTTGTGAATAATGATCTCTGTGTAAGATAGAAATTACTTGTGACACAAGAGAGAAACATTGACTTTAATTTGTCTCCTCACCTCCATCACAAAAGACAAAATATGCAGGGCAATGAAAGATGAATAGTGGTTCAAACAGAGAATGGGGCTCACGTTTCAAAACCATTATTCAGGAAAGTATCTGTGTATAACATAGAAACCTATTCCAGTACCTTTAGATTTCCAGTACATGTTAGAAAAAATGAAAGGATGTCATTGAACCTGGATCTAGCAGCGCAAAAGGTTCAATTCACTAAGATGGATGGCTATTTTACTTCCATTAGTTATTTTCTCTCATAATAAATCTCTTCAGTTCACAAAGATAAATATTTTTTTATTTGCAGGCAATGGACATTTAACTTCTAAAAACGCCTTATATCTTCATAACTTATTGTTTTAGCTCTTGTTATTTTTTTTAAATGTATTTACTAAACTGTACGTAATGCCCACAAAAACATAGTACTAACATTTCAAAGCATAGTTAGAATACCATACAATAGAGAGTAATCTCTAGCGAATAAGGTGAAGAACCATGTAGAAGAGTCAACAAGGACAGTTATCAGTCATTGTGTCTACTAGAAATGCTTATAAATGCTCCCGATCATCTAAAACCTACAGGAAAAAAAGGTGGTGGAAAGAGGAGAAGAGGGAAAAACCAGTTTAAGAAGAGAAAAAGGGGTAGAACAAAAAGGGGTCGTATACCACGTTCTAAGGGTAAAGGAAAGGTCCCATTTCCCGAAGCGGCCCAAGCAGGATGGAATCCAGGATGCAGATTGAGTGTGTTGTCCTGCAAGGGATAGACATCTTCCAGACAATATATCCAGTTGCCATAACCTGAGGTACTGATCAGTAGTTCTGAAATATTGGCCTGGTCTCCAAGTGGGTCTGAATTTCACTTCATGGTTCTTCAAGGAAGCTGTAAGATCTTCCATTTGGTAAAGGTCATTTATCTTTGCAAACCAAAGTTGGGTGGTAGGGGGTGAGTCTGTTTCCAAAGAAGTGGGACACAGGTCCTAGAAGTGTTAATTTAATGTATAGAGAGATTGGATTTATACTGTGAGATGAGCTTATCTGTTATCTGCAGAAGACGAATGGACGGGATGTGCCTCAAGTCTACCCTGGTCTGATGGAACACAACCACCCTTAACAAGTCCCAAGATGCCTGGAGTTAGGAAGTGTCATTTTACCAACATTTCAAAATGTACCTCACTGAAACTCACAATTAACGCCAGCCCTGAAGAGACCAAGTTCCCAGACCATTCATTTCAACAACAATCTTTCCATAAGTTTACATGCATTTAACATATTTTATTCATGTGATTCAACTTAAAAAAACTTCCCTTGTATAGACATCCAAACTCCCTGAGACTGCTGCTGTGTCACCATCTTGAATATGATGTCAGCAGGCCCATGTCTCCCCCTCAAATGACACTCCATAATATTTCCTTGCCTTCCTTTATCTGGCAGCTACATAAAATGTTATGTAGGAAGGTCACAGAGAGTAATTGGACACTCTTAGGAGAGGAGATGGCCATGACGTCAAGTAGGGAGGGAGCTGTGTTAGGAAATGGACTAGTCAAAAAGTTCAAAGGCACATTGAAAGTTATTAACAATCTTTAATGAAAAGCAAGAACACTACGTGCGAATATTTCAAATACCCGATTTTCTATGCTTTTACCTGCAATTTTTTTTTAAAGTTGGTGACAGGGTTTAGGCTAGCAGTATTACAAGGAGTGATAACTAGCATGATGATCTAATTGGTCTTATTTAAAGAGTTCTCTTTCTTGAAATGCAAAACATTTTTTGTATGTAAACACAAAACATTTCAGACTAATACAACTTACAACACCATTACTAAGCATGTTGTCCCATTTGCAAATATACAAAAATAATGCAATACTTTTGGTTCTTTCTTGCTTTCATCAGCATTCATGTGACCACTCAACCCCCCTCATCTCCCTGCAGCTTGGAGAGCTGGGGGTGGAGACTGCAAAAGATGCTAAGTGGGTTTCACTTAGTTCACAGGTCTCAGGAATTCTATCACTCCATGTAGCAATGAGTTTAGGCTGCAAGTTGGGATACAGGGATAATGCCATTCCTTAACACTTCCTGACTACAGCAGTCTGAAAAACAGCTGAATGCATTGTCAATTACAGTGGTGAGGTCTGGGCTATGGGTATGTCACCAAAACCCACTTAGCATCTTTTGCCGTCTCCACCCCCAGCTGTGTAAATTGACAGCACTATATAAAACACCTGTAATAACTAAAACTTTGAGGATGAATCTCTCCACAGTGTCTGCAGCTACAGGGGTCACAAGAGCTTGTTTATTGCTTGTATTTGCTGCAAGAATATGTTACTAGTTGAATTTCCATAGCCTATTTAGAACGTTTGGAGTTTAAACTCAAACTTAAAACTGTAAACTTTCTGAAATGATCAATGACAAACATGGTACAATATTCTACAACGACATAGCCTAGCCAAAGTTCTACTTTAAGCTGCTATGAACACTAGATGACAGCTGAACATGCAGGCATGATTTAAACAGAAAATCATTTTCAAATATTCCTACATAAATATGTATTCTCAGATAGGGATGCTAGCTCTCAGATAGGGGTCCTAACAAGGGACATTGGGATTAGCTTTGCCAAGCAGATTTCCCAATCTACGAAGCATATAGTCAACCAATACAGGTCAATTAAATCAGAGCTGTAGCTAGCCTATTTTGCGCCCGAGGCAAGA